ACTATATCTAAGGAGCCGACTGGTGCCTATGTTTGACCTGGCCATAACTTGATTCGTATCTGTGACATCACTGATAGTCAAGATCAAACTGGAGCCTTCCCCCCCCTCCACAAATGGCTGTTAAAGGATCCTTCCTATTTTAGACGTTGTGACAGAAAACAGGGTTCAGCCCTTCTTTGCCTTCTTTTGACACATCAGCTACTCCGCTGCTTCTTTTTTCTACCAAACTAAGAGAGAAAGCGATGCTTAGAAAAGGAGAAGATGATACAGGAGGCACTCAGGAATCCACCCACGTCTCTTCCTATTCCTGAAGGAACCCCTGAATATCATACTTGGAGTTGCAGAGGAAGGCTACACAAACACACTCACCTGGGAGCAAGCCAACCTTCACAGGACCACACTACACAACTTTTGATCCTTGTTACTATGACACCATTATTACTATTATAACACGGAGAAGCCAACCCTTGCAAAGGTTACAATGGTCTTCTCTGCCTTTCAGCTCAACATAAATGGCAACATTTGCCAGGTGTGTGCGTCATGTTGTGTGCCGTCAACTGGATCTAACTTAGACCCACCCTAAAGGGGCTTTCAAGGTTAGTGAAATGTTTCAAGGAGTGGTTTTCCCAGTGCCATGCCCCACCAGCAAAGGTCCATAGCCAAGCAGGGATTTGAATCCAACTCTCCTGAGTTCTAATTCATCCCTCTATTCACTCCTTCACAGGGGCAGCATTTATTCACCACACCACACATGTCGCCATGGACACTTATTCCAAAAACACCTCAAGAACAGAGTGACTTTGCCTTCTCTGGCAGCACTTCTCCCAAGCATTCCCCACAAGGTTCCCATGAGCATTTCCCTGTGACTGAGTAGCAATCTTAACTAGAGGAAAAAGCTTTCTCACGGCAAGTTGAAATATTCTTGCTATTCCATCTTAAAATCTTCTGTGTTGAAAAAAAGAGAGAGAAGTGTCACATCATTGGTAAGATGCAGAGAAATAGCCATAAGGTTTTATCACACTTGTGCGACCCTGCTGTAGGCTGCACCCAGAAACCAGACAACAAGGTCAGTCTACCTGACCAAACCTAGTGCACCTGTGTATGGGGGGCGGGATGCAGGTATTGATAATCTTATTTTTAAAGGGGTGGGTTCAAATCCCAGGGAAGCATCTTTCTCCCATCACAAGAGTTTTTCCCATGTGACACCACTTTCTCACACAGCTTCTGACACCCAAACCAGTGGAGCATCATCCACCTCTTTTTGCTTTGTTTTGGGTTCCTTGTTGAAATATCTCTAGGTCAGTGTCTCTTGATGATATTTTTGAACCCATCCAAGTTCTTCTCTCTTGGCTTTCCGGCCCTTCTCCCGCTGGCATCTTTTAACCTGCGAAAGCCCACTATCTCCAGCCTCTCCTCCCTGGGCAAAAGGACAACCTGACGCCTATGAAGTCACCATCGCCACCCACGCTTAGGCAAAGGTCCCCTCTTCCCCAGAAGAAGTCCCAGGGTGCTTTTGGGGTGGGGGGAGAGAGAGAGAGGAGTCCCGCCCATTGGAACGTGTGAACGATCGCACCGCGCTCGGGCGCCCGAGTTTCTTCTTCCCCCCCCCTCGGGCAGGGGGAGGGGAGGCGGCGAGTGGGCCCGGAGTCCGCGAAGGCGCGGCCCTTTAACCCCTGACTTACCGGAGGTCAGCTGCATCCAGGCGCAGATCTTGTAGACCGTGGCGGTGTTGCAGAAGAAGAAGAGGATGAAGCAGACGATGCAGGCGATGATGAGCACCATGGAGAGCCCGATGAAGAAAGAGGCGGCTTTGAAGGCTCCCGAAGGGAGGCTGGAGAAGTCCGTGAAGCTCCCTTGGCAGGTGAGTTCCCGGGAGAAGCCGCTGCCGGTGCAGAAGTGGAAGAGCCCGAAGTAGCCCGCCTGCGGGGTGTCCACGCCGTCGCCGATCCAGTAGGGCTGGAAGAAGCAGACCACGTTGACGATGGCAAAGCAGATGGTGAAGATGGCCCACAGCACGCCGATGGCCCGCGAGTTCCGCACGTAGTTGGTGTGGTAGAGCTTGGCTGCCTCCTGAGGCGGGAGCATCGTCCCGGTGGTCCCGGCCGCCGCCGCCGCCAGCCCCGCGCCTGCCGCC